CGACATCTTCGTCCGCGTCTGAGCAGCTCAGAACACCTCTTCAGCCTTTCTTTGCATCCCATCCATCTCAACCCGAGGAATTGGGAGAGTCTTTCCAGGATCTTTGGGAAAGCTTGACCGGGCAGATTGATGGCATGATCATCGCGAGGGGCCAGACGCATCTGTGCACGAACGAGGAGACGCAGAGGTTGGAGGTGCAAAGGCTTTTGGATGAGGTGGAACAGGCGCTGTGTGTGGAAGTGTACGATCGGTTAGTCGAACCTCTCCGCTCGAGCTGCAGCACTGCTGCTTGCACACTGATGAGCATCCACCCTCGGCTCGGCAGCATCTTTTGCCCGATTCATTCGGCTGATGAGGCGCAGAATGCTTCTTTGAAACAACGCATCGCTGCGCTGAATGTGTTGGGCATGAATTTGGCTCATTTGGGATTGGACGTGCGTGAAGATGCGAGGTTTGAAAGGAGCAAAGGCCAGACTGTGCACGATGCGCTACATGACCTGACCAAGAGATGCGGGGCAGGTGCGTGTCTACGTGCATGAGTGTCTGTTTGCGCAAGACGCGCGGAGAACTGCTTCGGCATGTCAGCTGTGGGCAGCGCATCTAACCGAGCATGGCTTGCCTGGTGTTCGTTCTTGTTGCAGTGCTTTGCACCCTCAACGATATCAGCTGCAGAGCGCCAAAGAAGAAGTTGGACGTACTCATTGCTGCTCATAGATTGCTTGTGAAGGGCCTTGAAGACTTGCCGCGCATTCGACTAAAAGAAGATGCGGATGCGGATGCGGATGCGGACGCGGATGCGGACGTGGTCGAGGAAGCAAAAGTCGAGATGATCGACGCGAAGACTTTGCAAGGAGATACTCAGGAGCCCGCCGTGCTACAGACCAAAGACGAACTGGAGGCAGCCGCAGATGCGCGAAATCGACCGTCGACATCGAGCACGGATCTGATCCTTCCGTTGCTCATCCATTCCATCATCAGCACCTCGCCTCCGCAACTCGCCGCTCACTTGCTCTACGTAGAGAGGTTCAGACCGGCTTCGCTCATTCGTGGCGAGAGCAGCTACTGCCTCGTCAATATGCAAGCTGCAGTCACATTCTTGCAGAATGTGCAGCCTGAAACGTTGGGTTTGCAAGGTGCAGATTTGATCGGGTGAGTGGGCGTGCTCTGCGATGACCAGACGCACGGTGTGCCGCTGATCATGGTCGCTTGCTTCGACGCGTCACACAGCTTTCCAAAGCCGAACACTTCTCTGTCGAACAGCGGTGCGGCACAGACTGCGAGTGCGAGAGTGTTGAGCAGCCCATCAGCTGCTACGCCCATGCCCATGCGCTTGAGAGGTCGCGTAGCACAGGAGATCGGAGAGCTAGCTGGCATGTCCAATCGGGTCATTACTGGAGGTAAGCAGTCACGCTCAAGCTTTGGCACGGCACGAGCGCTGCGAAGGCGAAAGCTCAAGCTGAAGCCCAAGCTGAATTGGCTCTTCCCTGCTTCGCTCACTACGTCGCAGTGATGGGCAGTAGCATCTCCGCATTTGGCCGAATGATGGGCTCTAGCCCTGCGAGCGCACAGCAATCGCCACTTGCGCTCCTCTCGCAGTCGCAAAGTGATGCGCGCGCAAACGTTCAAGATGCTTCGCACGCTTTCACAACTCGTCAGCCATCCAGTGGCCTGACCAACTCGCTGAGAACTTTCACACGCGTGCAAGACGCTTCAAACCGAGGCACAGGTAGCGCAGCGGCCGCTTCTTTGCAGAGCGTCAAGGATGCTTGGACAGGCAGCGCGGGCTCGGGTGGGAGCGATTATGGTCGCGATGCGTTGGCAACGCCTTCTCAGTCGGATGCGAGAGGTGTCCAGCCTGACGTGGTGGCTGGCAGCAGCAGCTTCTCGCCTCCACTTGCACACCTCGCTTCTTCTCCTGCCAATGGCATCAACCTGCAAGCTGGAGATCGCATGTCCTTTGGACATCGACTGGCCTCTTTTCCCATGCTCAACAGACTTGGACTGGGCTCTTCGCCCTCGTTGAGCAACGTCGCGCTCCCTTCGTCTTCTCAGCAGAGCACATCGCCCATCACAACAACAACTCGAGAATTGCCTGGTCCGCCACCGCCTGATAAGTTCGCCAAAAGGCAGGGAAAGAGCAAGAGTCTGGCGACAGAGACGTCCAACTCTGCCCTTGCTGCGCCCCCGCAACGCGCATCTGGGCCTCCTATTGTGAGTGGCAAAATGCAGCGGAGCAACATGAGTCGTTGCAAGGGCTTGATTGGCTGACGTGTCTGCCTCGCAGAAGCCATCTGGCAGTCCAGAGCCGTACGGCACAAAGATACCTGCCTCACTCCAGTCCCCCTACCCTCCGCTGTCCCAACCTCCAACGTCTCACAGACCGCTGCATGTCGTGCTTGCGAGCACAGGCAGTGTGGCCAGCATCAAGGTACCTTTGATGGTGGAAGAGTTGCTAAAGGTTGGTTGGACTAAGTGCTTGCCGACCTTGTTGAGACCTTGCGCACACGACTCTGATCTTGACTTTCACGTGCAGCACGACAATGTTCGGGTTCAGGTAGTCGCTACTTCGTCTTCGCTGCATTTCTACAATGCGAGCGACATTTTTCATCTCAATCGGGCGAGCGCAGCAAGCATGGACGACTCGAAAGATGAGGAGAAGGAGGAGCTGGCAAAAAGTGACCGCTATTCAGTACAAGACCTTGCGGCTGAAAATCGGGCGGCTGTGCGCGGAACGATGCCGGCAGATGCCGATCAACCACGAGCGCACATTTGGACGGACGTGGACGAGTGGGATCAGTGGAAGCGCGTCGGTGACCCCATCCTGCACATCGAGGTGAGCTTTACGGAAGTGATCGGAGCGGACGACTGCTCGTTTGCTGCTTGTTTCCTGCTCTGCTCATCCGCAGACTGACCTTTTCTGATGTTAGCTGAGGAGATGGGCAGATATCGTGCTCGTCGCTCCTTGCAGCGCCAATACTCTTGCAAAAATCACAGCAGGCATCTGCGACTCGTTGTTGGTGCGCATCGCTGCACTCGTGCCCACATTGATTGCCTGACGATGCCTCAGCTGATCAAGTCCCACCACGCCACACCTGTTTCGTGCCCATAGACTTCCTTTCTGAGAGCTCTCTCTCCGACGACCCCGACGGTGCTGTTTCCGGCAATGAATACGCTGATGTACATGCATCCTCTGACGGCTCACCAACTCGCCTTGGCAAGCAACACGCTCGGGTACGAAGTGGTGGGGCCCATCTCGAAAATGCTAGCTTGCGGAGATCTGGGTGAGACGAGGCGATTTGGTTTCAGTGAGCCTGGGCGGTTACCTTGACGTTTGCAAGCTCACACTAGAGCACTTGCCTCCCCGGCCATCTTCTTGATGATGACGGATGATGTCAGGTCAAGGAGCGATGACGGAATGGACGGACATTGTGCAGCTGGTTGTGCGGCGCTTTGGCCTGACTAGACCTCGCACGGCCCTGTACGAATAAAGACTGCTGCCTCGACTCTCGACTTCGAGTTTCTCCCCCCTCCGCCTCCGCCTTTGCTAGAGCCCTTTCAGCGGCAAGGCGCACGCTGCTGCTCCTTCTCTGTGTCCGAAACCATTCCACTGCTCGATGCCCGCCTTGCGCACGCATTCGTCTCTTGCCGCGCACCAACATGCTGCTGTAATTTATCCTATGTTTTTGCCATTCCGCTTTCCCTTGCGGCGCGTGCGCGCACTTGACATGCTCCCATCCATCCATTGCACCTGCTCATCCTTCTCGTAATCCCCATCGCAAGACGAACGAAGGGCATCACCCAGCGCAAAGGATAATGACAAAGGGCTCTGCGAGTTGAATTTGAGAGGAGCCGCGAGCCCCGCTCGCATGTGGAAAAGGGCAATCTTGCCTCGTGATGTTTCCCTCTGCTCCATCTCCTCACCATCGGCGCCCTGCGCAGTCGCAAGGTAGCGGGCGGAAACTTTTGCGCGTACCACACGCATCGCTCAAGAAGACAAGTCATGCAATTCTCGAATGAATGCTACGTACTCGCGGATCGGATCGCGCGCTCCACCCGCTTTTGCTGAGTGAGCGTGCGAGTGGGTGCGCGTGTGAAGGGAGAGACGAGCAGCGCGGATGCATGGAATGAGGTGATGGCGTTTATGCGCTGCTTTCAAGACATGGCGCCCAAGTGGAAGTGGACCGACTGCTTCTTTTATGCCAGGTCGACGTGCTTGTAGCCGCGCACCTGCGAGTGCAAGGGATGAGCAATCTGGATGAGCAGATACTCGCGCAAAGCAGGACCGCACCCCGCACCCCGCACCCCGCACCCCGCACCCCGCACCGATGGCCAACATGGACCCCTTTTAGCCCAAGCTAAGCACTTGCGCAGTACAATCTGCCTGCTTCTACATTTGCCCCCCCCCTCACACTCACCTTGGCATCCTTGAGCAGTTCGAGGTACCTATCGGCCAAAGGTTGGCAAACCTGATAATGGTTCACCCCTTCACCCTTGTGACACTTGACCAGCTCTTCGCGCACAATACGCGCCTTCATCACCTTGACCCAGTCCGAGCGAATCTTTTCTTCGCGCGCCTCGACGGTCTCTGTGAGTGTGCGCGCAGGGTGCAAAGGGGTCAGCAGAGGGTGCGTGAGGTAGGGAGAGGAGTTGGCTCGAGCGTGGCGCGAGGCTGCAGTGCCGATGACTTGCGACGTCGGAGCGCGCGCCAGCATGAGGCACAGCACAGCAGCTTTGCTTTGCAGCTGTCGCGTGGCAAACAAAGAGAAGCGGCCATCGGTTCAAAGAGGCGATGACCAGATCGCCGCGTCCATGGCACGCAGTGCTGCTTCCTCTCGCCCTCTGCCATGCCATGCCACAACGTCTCCTGTTGCAGACCCCAACGATGCGCCCGCCCCTTGCAATCCATCCCCATCCCACCCACTCTGCTACAAACTCCACCGCACTCGAGGTGACAAGCCATGGCCACGTGCAATGCATTCACCTTGCCTGCCCCTTTCCCATCCCATGCCTCCAACCTCCATCCATCCCCATGCTGCTGGCTGCTCCCCCCCCCCCCCCCCCCCCCCCGC